GAAAATGGTGGTTTTTTGATGCTTGATGGGAATTTGGGGTGATGGAGCGATGGAAAATGGGATTAATTTAGGGGAAAATGGTGTTTTTTGATGCTGGATGGGAATTTGGGGTGATGGAGCGATGGAAAATGGCTGATTTTTAGGGGAAAATGGTGTTTTTTGATGCTTGATGGGAATTTGGGGTGATATACTGATGGAAAATGAGCTGATTTCAGTGGAAAATGGTGTTTTTTGGACATTTGATTGGCATTTGAGAGGACGCACCTATGAAAACGGACTGATTTCGAGGGAAAACGGGGTGGGTTTTTTTTTTTTTTTTCCCAGCCGATGGAAACGGGCGGCGGTTCGTTTTATTCCTCGAATCTTCGTGGAAAAAAAAATAAAAAAGGGGGGTGAGATGGGGGGTGGGCGCTGGAGACCCCCTTCCCGCCCTTCCCGGCCCCTCTCCGAACCCCCCCCCCATCCCACGAGGAGTTTTTGGTGCACACAGCAAAAAAACTCACCATTTTCACCCATTTCCCACCCATTTTCTACCCGATCCTCGGCCAAAAATCCGCCCTGAGGACGGGACGTGAAAGGTTTTGACGAAAGCAGCAAAAAAAACCCCCCATTTTCACCCTTTTTTAACCCAATCCTCGGCCAAAATATTGCTGGAAAGCAAAGGGAAGCGGGATTTTTTTGGCGTCGGCTGCTAAAAAAAACCATTTTCACCCTTTTTCCACCCAATCCTCAGCCAAAACCCCACTGCAAAGTGGAGGGGTGCAGGATTTTTTTAGTGGAAAAAACTAAAAAAAAACCCATTTTCACCCTTTTTCCACCCAATCCTCAGCCAAAACCGCGCTGTGAGCAACGTGGCCGTGAGGATTTTTGGTGTGTGCAGCTAAAAAAACCCATTTTCTCCCTTTTTCCACCCAATCCTCACCCAAAACTCTACTGGAAAGTGACGGGATGAGGGACTTTTTTGCTGTGTTTGGCTAAAAAACCCCATTTTCACCCTTTTTCCACCCAATTCTGGGCCAGAAATATGCTGTGAGCAATGTGGCCATGAGGATTTTTGGTGCAAGTGGCTAAAAACCCCCATTTTCACCCTTTTTCCACCCAATCCTCACCCAAAACCCTACTGCAAAGTGAAGGGGCGGGGGATTTTTTTTTGTATGTGCGGCAAAAACCCCATTTTCTCCTGTTTTCTCCCCAATTTTTGGCCAAAACCTTACTGCAAAGCAAGAGACAATGAGGATTTTTGGTGTGTGCAGCTAAAAAAACCCATTTTCACCCTTTTCCCACCCAATTCTTGGCCAAAACTCTGCTGTGAGCAACGTGGCCGTGAGGATTTTTGGTGTGTGCAGCTAAAAAAAACCCATTTTCACCCCTTTTCCACCCAATTCTGGGCCAAAAACATGCTACGAACAACGTGGCCATGAGGATTTTGGGTAAAAGAAGTTAAAAAACCCCATTTTCACCCTTTTCCCACCCAATTCTCGGCCAAAACTCTGCTGCGAGCAACGTGGCCGTGAGGATTTTTGGTAAAAGAAGTTAAAAAACCCCATTTTCGCCCATTTTTCACCCAATTCTTGGCCAAAACCCTTCTGCGATGGAGGGCACCCCGAGGCTTTGGGGGCCGCGTGCCGTGCAAAGTCCTTTTTCCTCCCGTTTTTTCCCCAAAACCCCCCTCCAAATGCCAAAAAAAGCCCCGAAAAAAACGCATTCCTTCTCCTTGAACCTCCCGGTTGGGTCGATGGGGTTTTTTTGGGGGAGAAAGGGCCGTTTTGAGGGGAATTCCCCTCTTCCGCAGGCGGGGAGGGGCGGTTGGCGAGAGGTCCACCCCTAGAGCTTCTCAGCTTCCTCCTCCCCCACCACCACCACCTCCTGGACCTTCTGGAGGTGAAGCCACCTCAGATGGTCCCTCAAAGAGGTCCCACCCCCCCCTAATTCACCCCTTAATCCCTATTAAGCTGGCGAAGGGGGGAGGGGAGGAGAAAGTTACGGAGGTGCCACCACGAAGACCACCACCACACCCCCTCCCACGGGCGATTTCGGCGCCGAAATTACAGTTTTGGGGGTTTTTTTGTTGGTTTTTGAGGGGTTTTTTGGTGTCTTTTTTTTTTTTATTATTATTATTGGGATGCGGAATTACAGCTGCCCTCAGTAGCAGGTGACGTCGGAGTCGGCCAAAACCACCGAGACGTTGACGGCGGTGGGTTTACCGATGCTCTTGTCCAGGTTCTTCTGCACGAACTTCATGGGGATGCCGTCGTGGCCCACCACGCAGGCGAAGGAGTCGCCCCGTTGCCAAGCGGTCGCCGGCACGCTCAACTTGCTGTAGACGGCGTAAGTGGCGCCGTCTTCTTGAGGGCCAAAGATGGAGAAGCTCTCGGGGGAGACGGGACGGTCTTCTTGGGTCCAGGTCACCAAGATGTCCCGAGGACGGAAACCCAAAGCCAAACAGGTCAAGGTGGCCGTCTCTTGCCGGGCCAGTTCCTCGGCGGGGGGAGGGAAGACGTAGACGGAAGGGGGCGTCACAGAGACGGCTGCTGCAGGTGGGGTGGGGTGGAAGAGAACGGTCAAAAGCGGTGGGAGAGCGACCGGCGGGGTGAATTCCTCCCGTAGACTGGCCCAGTTGGCCCTCCCAGTTGGCTAGACCTCTCCAGTAGACTGGTCTCCAGCCCAGTTGGCTCTCCTGGTAAGCTAGACCCTTCCAGTAGGCTGGTCTCCAGCCCAGTTGGCCCTCCCAGTTGGCTAGACCTCTCCAGTAGACTGGTCTCCAGCCAAGTTGGCTGTCCCAGTTGGCTAGACCTCTCCAGTAGACTGGTCTCCAGCCAAGTTGGCTGTCCCAGTTGGCTAGACCTCTCCAGTAGACTGGTCTCCAGCCCAGCTGGCTCTCCCAGTAAGCTAGACCCTTCCAGTAGACTGGTCTCCTCCTGTAGACTGGCCCAGGTGGCCCTCCCAGTAAGCTAGACCTCTCCAGTAAGGTAGACCCCACCAGTAGACTGGTTTCCTCCTGTAGACTGGCCCAGTTGGCCTTCCCAGTTGGCTAGATCCTACCAGTAGACTAGCCTCTTCCAGTAGACCCTCCCAGTTGACCTCTCTGGTAGAGAAGACCCTTCCAGTGGACAAGTTCCATCCAGTAGATGCTCTTTCAGCAGGGTGGCCCAGTTGACTCTCCCAGTAGCCCCAAGCTCTCCAGCTAGACCCTTCCAGTTGGCTATACCTCTTCCAGCAGACCCTTCCAGTTGGCTAACCTCTTCCAGTAGACCCTTCCAGTTGACTAACCTCTTCCAGTAGACCCTTCTAGTTGGCTAACCTCTTCCAGTAGACTCTCCCAGTAGACCAACCCAGTAGACTGGACTTTTCCAACCATCTCCTTCACCTTCTTGTCCTCCTCCCCGCCCCAACCCGCTTCTCCTTCTCCTCTCCTTTGTCCCCCCACCTCGGTGGCCACCGCCTCGGTGGTCACCGATTCGGAAGGCGGGGACAACGTGGGGCGGGCGAGAAGGGGCGTGGCGCCTACCTAGGTCTTTCTTCACCACCCTGGTGAAGGTCTCCTCCAACTCGGGGATTTTCACGGTGCAGGTGAACTTCTCGCCGGAGTTCCACTCGTCGGCGCAGATCTTCAGGGTACTGGTGAGGCGGTAGAGACCATTCTCCAACTTTTGGGGAGAACCGGAGGTGACATCCAAAGCGCTGCCCGTGTCCCGCTTCCAGGTGAACTTCACCTCCTGGGGGGTCTTCACGTTGGTGGCCACGCAGGTGACGCTACCGTTCTGGCTGAGGTAGAGGTCCTCCAGCGACGGGGGGAGGAGGGTGACGGCCACCTCCGGTTTGCAATCTGGTGGAGGGGGTTGGGGGGGTGGAATGGGGTGGGAGTGGGGACATCTTGGGCGGACGCCAAAATTTGGGGGGCCTCCACCTTTCGGTGGGACCCCCACCAAAGACAAAAAACCCACTGGTCCAATTGGCAGGACCATCATCCATCATCCACCCATCTGGTGGGTCCACCAACCCCTGTATCTCCATATACTTCCACCATCCATCCATCCAACCATCATCCGCCCATCTGGTGGGTCCACCAACCCCCGTATCTCCATATACTTCCACCATCCATCCATCCAACCATCATCCGCCCATCTGGTGGGTCCACCAACCTTCGTATCTCCATATACTTCCACCATCCATCCATCTGGTGGGTCCACCAACCCCCGTATCTCCATATACTTCCACCATCCATCCATCCAACCATCATCCACCCCTCTGGTGGGTCCACCAACCTCCGTATCTCCATATACTTCCATCGTCCACCCCTCTGGTGGGTCCACCAACCCCCGTATCTCCATATACTTCCACCATCCACCCATCCGGTGGGGCCACCAACCCCTCCATCTCTACGTACTTCCACCAACCCTCCAACCTTCTCCATCTTCCACCCATCTGTGACCTCCAGGAGACCAGAGGGCCTCACCTGCGCAGAAGGTGCTGATGTTGAAGACATTTGGGTCCTTCACCGACGGGTGGGTCACCTTGCAGGAGAACTCAGCCCCGTGGTCCCAGCTCTGCCGGCTGACGTTGACCTGGCTGGTGAAGGTGACCTTGTCCTGGGAGCACTTCTCGCAGGTGGAGTCCACTTGGTTGAGGTCCGCCGCCTCGTGGTTCATCAACCATTCCACCTGAGCATCACCAGCGGTCTCCCCCTCGACGAGGCACATCAGGAGGACTTCCTCGGAGTACTTGTTGGGGTCGGCCAAGAGCTTCACCGTTGCGGGGGGATCTCTGCACATGGCTGTGGAACGGGGACATCATGGAGAAGAGTTGACCAAGATGTGGTGCAAGGCTGGGAGCAGGGAAAACCCATCTAGATGTCCACCACCAACCCATCTAGGTGTCCACCATGGCATCACTCAAGGCTGGGAGCAAGGCCAACCCACCTAGATGTCCACCACCAACCCATCTAGGTGTCCACCATGGCATCACTCAAGGCTGGGAGCAAGGCCAACCCACCTAGATGTCCACCACCAATCCATCTAGGTGTCCACCAAGCCATCATGGAAGGCTGGGATCCAGGATAACCCATCTAGATGTCCACCGCCCACCCATCTTGGTGTCCACCGAGCCATCATGGAAGGCTGGGAGCAAGGACAACCCATCTAGATGTCCACCAAGACGTCACTTAAGGCTAGGAGCCAGGCTAACACATCTAGATGTCCACCACCAACCCATCTTGGTGTCCACCAAGACGTCACACAAGGCTGGGAGCAACCTCAGCCCATCCAGGTGTCCACCATGACGTCACTCAAGGCTGGGAGCAAGGCCAACCCATCCAGATGTCCACCACCAACCCATCTAGATGTCCACCAAGATGTCGTGCAGGACCGGGAGCAAGGCCAACCCACCTAGAGGTCCACCACCAACCCATCTAGATGTCCACCAAGATGTCGTGCAGGACCGGGAGCAAGGCCAACCCACCTAGAGGTCCACCACCAACCCATCTAGATGTCCACCAAGATGTCGTGCAGGACCGGGAGCAAGGCCAACCCACCTAGAGGTCCACCACCAACCCATCTAGATGTCCACCAAGATGTCGTGCAGGACCGGGAGCAAGGCCAACCCACCTAGAGGTCCACCACCAACCCATCTCCAACCCACCTAGATGTCCACCACCAACCCATCTAGATGTCCACCATGACGTCACTCAAGGCTGGGAGCAACCTCAGCCCATCTAGATGTCCACCACCAACCCATCTAGATGTCCACCATGACGTCACTCAAGGCTGGGAGCAACCTCAGCCCATCTAGATGTCCACCACCAACCCATCTAGATGTCCACCATGACGTCACTCAAGGCCGGGAGCAAGGCCAACCCCGTCCAGGTGTCCACGGTGACGTCACGCACCGCCGCGAGCCCCTCCCCGTCGCCCTTCTCACCTGGGACCTCCTTGATGACGCTGAAGGAGGGGCCGTGGTCCACCTTGCACTGGAATTTGTTGTCGTCCACCACGGCGGCGGGGACGGTGTACTGGGAGCTGAAGCTGTAGTAACTGTTGCCGCTCCGGATGGTGGGGAAGGTCTCCACCTCGCCGGCCACGTTGGAGATCCAGGTGAGGGTGGCCGGTTCGGGGAAGAAATCGCTGACTAAGCAACCCAAGGTCACCTTCTCCTCGCAGGGACGACAGGGGACCAGGGGGTAGACCGTGGGGTTGGCGTTGGACTCTGGAGAGGAGAAGAAGTCCGGTTGGTTGGTTGGTTGGTTTTTTTTTCGGGAGGGCGACGTGGCCGTTCGGTGGCCGCAGTTGAGTGGTCGGTGGCCCAGTTGGAGGACCTCCGGGATGTGGGTGGTGGGGTGGGGAAGTTTGGGGGGAGGGGGAAAGTGGTGGCACCGAAAGCCGAAGCTGGGCTTGGCTACCAAAACTATATGCTGGGCTACTTAGAAGACCTTAAAGTTGAGCTTGGCTAGCAGAAGTCGGCGCTGGGCTTCCTAGAAGTGCTTAAAGCTGAGCGTGGCTACCAAAACTCGCAGTCGGGCTTTCCTCGACGGGCGTGCGGCCAAGCGTGGCTACCTCAGCCCCGGGGCTTCCCCGGGGGAGACTGAGGCTGAGCGTGGCTACCAAAACTCAATGCTGGGCTACTTAGAAGAGCTTAATGTTGAGCTTGGCTACCAAAACTCAACACTGGGCTTCCTAGAAGAGCTTAAAGCTGAGCGTGGCTACCAAAACTCAAGGCTGGGCTACTTAGAAGAGCTTATATTTGAGCATGGCTAGCAAAACTCAAAGCAGGGCTACCTAGAGAAGACCTTAATGCTGAGTGTGGCTACCAAAACACAATGGTGGGATGCCTAGAAGAGCTTAAAGCTGAGTTTGACTAGCAAAACTTAACAATGGGCTATCTAGAAGAGCTTAATGCTGGGCTTGGCTACCGAAACACAATGCTGGGCTACCTAGAAGAGATTAAAGTTGAGATTGGCTACCAGAACACAATGCTGGGCTACCTAGATGACTTTAAAGCTGGGCTTGGCTACAGAAACTCAACGCTGGACTACCCAGAAGAGCTTAAAGGTGAGCATGGCTAGCAAAACTCAACACTGGGCTCCCTAGAGAAGACATTAATGCTGAGTGTGGCTACCAAAACGCACTGCTTGGCTTCCTAGAAGACCTGAATGCTGAGCTTGGCTAGCAAAACTCAACGCTGGGCTACCTAGAGAAGATCTTAAACCTGAGCGTGGCTACCAAAACTCAATGCTGGGCTACTTAGAAGAGCTTAAAGCTGAGCGTGGCTACCAAAACTCAATGCTGGGCTACTTAGAAGAGCTTAAAGCTGAGCGTGGCTACCAAAACTCAATGCTGGGCTACTTAGAAGAGCTTAAAGCTGAGCGTGGCTACCAAAACTCAATGCTGGGCTACTTAGAAGAGCTTAAAGCTGAGCGTGGCTACCAAAACTCAATGCTGGGCTACTTAGAAGAGCTTAAAGCTGAGCGTGGCTACCAAAACTCAATGCTGGGCTACTTAGAAGAGCTTAAAGCTGAGCGTGGCTACCAAAACTCAATGCTGGGCTACTTAGAAGAGCTTAAAGCTGAGCGTGGCTACCAAAACTCAATGCTGGGCTACTTAGAAGAGCTTAAAGCTGAGCGTGGCTACCAAAACTCAATGCTGGGCTACTTAGAAGAGCTTAAAGCTGAGCGTGGCTACCAAAACTCAATGCTGGGCTACTTAGAAGAGCTTAAAGCTGAGCGTGGCTACCAAAACTCAATGCTGGGCTACTTAGAAGAGCTTAAAGCTGAGCGTGGCTACCAAAACTCAATGCTGGGCTACTTAGAAGAGCTTAAAGCTGAGCGTGGCTACCAAAACTCAATGCTGGGCTACTTAGAAGAGCTTAAAGCTGAGCGTGGCTACCAAAACTCAATGCTGGGCTACTTAGAAGAGCTTAAAGCTGAGCGTGGCTACCAAAACTCAATGCTGGGCTACTTAGAAGAGCTTAAAGCTGAGCGTGGCTACCAAAACTCAATGCTGGGCTACTTAGAAGAGCTTAAAGCTGAGCGTGGCTACCAAAACTCAATGCTGGGCTACTTAGAAGAGCTTAAAGCTGAGCGTGGCTACCAAAACTCAATGCTGGGCTACTTAGAAGAGCTTAAAGCTGAGCGTGGCTACCAAAACTCAATGCTGGGCTACTTAGAAGAGCTTAAAGCTGAGCGTGGCTACCAAAACTCAATGCTGGGCTACTTAGAAGAGCTTAAAGCTGAGCGTGGCTACCAAAACTCAATGCTGGGCTACTTAGAAGAGCTTAAAGCTGAGCGTGGCTACCAAAACTCAATGCTGGGCTACTTAGAAGAGCTTAAAGCTGAGCGTGGCTACCAAAACTCAATGCTGGGCTACTTAGAAGAGCTTAAAGCTGAGCGTGGCTACCAAAACTCAATGCTGGGCTACTTAGAAGAGCTTAAAGCTGAGCGTGGCTACCAAAACTCAATGCTGGGCTACTTAGAAGAGCTTAAAGCTGAGCGTGGCTACCAAAACTCAATGCTGGGCTACTTAGAAGAGCTTAAAGCTGAGCGTGGCTACCAAAACTCAATGCTGGGCTACTTAGAAGAGCTTAAAGCTGAGCGTGGCTACCAAAACTCAATGCTGGGCTACTTAGAAGAGCTTAAAGCTGAGCGTGGCTACCAAAACTCAATGCTGGGCTACTTAGAAGAGCTTAAAGCTGAGCGTGGCTACCAAAACTCAATGCTGGGCTACTTAGAAGAGCTTAAAGCTGAGCGTGGCTACCAAAACTCAATGCTGGGCTACTTAGAAGAGCTTAAAGCTGAGCGTGGCTACCAAAACTCAATGCTGGGCTACTTAGAAGAGCTTAAAGCTGAGCGTGGCTACCAAAACTCAATGCTGGGCTACTTAGAAGAGCTTAAAGCTGAGCGTGGCTACCAAAACTCAATGCTGGGCTACTTAGAAGAGCTTAAAGCTGAGCGTGGCTACCAAAACTCAATGCTGGGCTACTTAGAAGAGCTTAAAGCTGAGCGTGGCTACCAAAACTCAATGCTGGGCTACTTAGAAGAGCTTAAAGCTGAGCGTGGCTACCAAAACTCAATGCTGGGCTACTTAGAAGAGCTTAAAGCTGAGCGTGGCTACCAAAACTCAATGCTGGGCTACTTAGAAGAGCTTAAAGCTGAGCGTGGCTACCAAAACTCAATGCTGGGCTACTTAGAAGAGCTTAAAGCTGAGCGTGGCTACCAAAACTCAATGCTGGGCTACTTAGAAGAGCTTAAAGCTGAGCGTGGCTACCAAAACTCAATGCTGGGCTACTTAGAAGAGCTTAAAGCTGAGCGTGGCTACCAAAACTCAATGCTGGGCTACTTAGAAGAGCTTAAAGCTGAGCGTGGCTACCAAAACTCAATGCTGGGCTACTTAGAAGAGCTTAAAGCTGAGCGTGGCTACCAAAACTCAATGCTGGGCTACTTAGAAGAGCTTAAAGCTGAGCGTGGCTACCAAAACTCAATGCTGGGCTACTTAGAAGAGCTTAAAGCTGAGCGTGGCTACCAAAACTCAATGCTGGGCTACTTAGAAGAGCTTAAAGCTGAGCGTGGCTACCAAAACTCAATGCTGGGCTACTTAGAAGAGCTTAAAGCTGAGCGTGGCTACCAAAACTCAATGCTGGGCTACTTAGAAGAGCTTAAAGCTGAGCGTGGCTACCAAAACTCAATGCTGGGCTACTTAGAAGAGCTTAAAGCTGAGCGTGGCTACCAAAACTCAATGCTGGGCTACTTAGAAGAGCTTAAAGCTGAGCGTGGCTACCAAAACTCAATGCTGGGCTACTTAGAAGAGCTTAAAGCTGAGCGTGGCTACCAAAACTCAATGCTGGGCTACTTAGAAGAGCTTAAAGCTGAGCGTGGCTACCAAAACTCAATGCTGGGCTACTTAGAAGAGCTTAAAGCTGAGCGTGGCTACCAAAACTCAATGCTGGGCTACTTAGAAGAGCTTAAAGCTGAGCGTGGCTACCAAAACTCAATGCTGGGCTACTTAGAAGAGCTTAAAGCTGAGCGTGGCTACCAAAACTCAATGCTGGGCTACTTAGAAGAGCTTAAAGCTGAGCGTGGCTACCAAAACTCAATGCTGGGCTACTTAGAAGAGCTTAAAGCTGAGCGTGGCTACCAAAACTCAATGCTGGGCTACTTAGAAGAGCTTAAAGCTGAGCGTGGCTACCAAAACTCAATGCTGGGCTACTTAGAAGAGCTTAAAGCTGAGCGTGGCTACCAAAACTCAATGCTGGGCTACTTAGAAGAGCTTAAAGCTGAGCGTGGCTACCAAAACTCAATGCTGGGCTACTTAGAAGAGCTTAAAGCTGAGCGTGGCTACCAAAACTCAATGCTGGGCTACTTAGAAGAGCTTAAAGCTGAGCGTGGCTACCAAAACTCAATGCTGGGCTACTTAGAAGAGCTTAAAGCTGAGCGTGGCTACCAAAACTCAATGCTGGGCTACTTAGAAGAGCTTAAAGCTGAGCGTGGCTACCAAAACTCAATGCTGGGCTACTTAGAAGAGCTTAAAGCTGAGCGTGGCTACCAAAACTCAATGCTGGGCTACTTAGAAGAGCTTAAAGCTGAGCGTGGCTACCAAAACTCAATGCTGGGCTACTTAGAAGAGCTTAAAGCTGAGCGTGGCTACCAAAACTCAGCTCTGGGCTACCTAGAGACAATTCAGGCTGAGCTTGGCTACCAAAACCCAGTGTTGGGCTAGCAAGAAGGGCTTAATGGTGAGTGTGGCTAGCAAAACTCGATGCTGGGCTTACCTAGAAGAGCTCAATGCTGAGCTTGGCTACCAAAACCCAGCACTGGGCTACCTAGAAGAGCTTAATGCCGAGCTTGGCTAGCAAAACCCAAAGCTGGGCTACCTAGAACAGCTTAGAGCTGAGCGTGGCTACCAAAACTCAGAGCTGGGCTACGTAGAGGAGCTTTAAGAGGAGCACGGCTAGCAAAACTCAACGCTGGGCTAACGAGAAGACCTCGAAGCTGAGTGCGGCTAGCAAAACGCAGCACTGGGCTACCTGGAAGAGCTGAAAGTTGAGAGTGGCTAGCAGGGCTGTGAGGTGGGCTAGCATGGCTAGTAGGGGAGGGGAGGTGGCTAGCAGGGCTATGA